CACGCACATTCTAAGTTTGTTCCCTTTTTTAGGCACTACAACTACATTGGCTAACCATTCGGGATATTTCAACTCCCGAATGGACCCTATCTTGAGAAGTTTGGTTACCTCGTCCTTTATGAATGCGTGTTTTACCTCAGACTAGGGTCTTCTCTTTTGCTTCACCGGTCTGAACCTAGGGTCCAAGCTTAGCCTATGCGTTGTTATGTCCGGTGGGATCCCTATTATATCTAAATGGGACCAGGCAAAGCAATCGATGTTATCGATAAGAAATTGAATAAGTTTTTTCCTAAGTTCGAGGCTCAACCCCGTTCCCAGGTATACCTTCCGTTTGGGCCAATGCACGATTAGTGTGAGTTGCTCTAGTTCCTCAATCGTTGATTTGGTGGCGTCGGAGTCATCGGGAATCACGAAGGATCGAAGGATCCTCTGATCATCATCTTCTTCGATCTTTTGGTTATCTGGTTGGGTCAAGGCCGATGTCTGTGATTGCTATTTGGTATCTCGTTCCCTTTTTGAGCCCGATCCCTTTACTAGCGAAGGTGAGGATATTGGTTTCGCTTCCTCGACGACGAACATTTCTCTTGTGGCTGGTTGTTCTCCGTACACTATTCCGACCCCTCCCGATGTTGGGAATTTGAAGACCTGGTGTAGGGTCGAAGGTACAGCTCTCATGTTGTGGATCCATGGCCTTCCGAAAAGGTCGTTGTATCTCATGTCGCCTTCGATCACGTGGAACTTCATTTTCTGGATGGTTCCGGCCACGTTTATTGGTAGAATTATCTCGCCTTTGGTGGTTTCACATACCATATTGAATCCGTTTAGAACCAGGGTTGCGGGAACGATCTGGTCCTGCAGGCCGAGTTATTCTATGACCTTCAATCTGATGATGTTGGCCGAACTACCTGGATCAATCAACACACGCTTAACTTTAGTTTTATTCACGAGTACGGATATTACCAGTGCATTGTTATGAGGTTGTATGATCCCTTCTGCATCTTCATCATTGAAGGACAAATTTCCTATGGGTGTGTAATCTTGAGTTCGAGATCGGTTTTCTCTCACAATCGATGTCTTAGTGCGTTTAAGCACTGGTCCCTGAGGGATATTGGCGCCGCTGATGATCATGTGAATGGCGTGCTGTGGTTCTTCTTGTTCGTTTTGCTTGCCGAAATCCCTATTTTAAAATGGTTCTTCTCCCTATCGCTCAAAAATTCTCTAAGGTGCCCTTTGTTGAATAACTGGGCTACTTCCTCTCTTTGTTGCCTGCAATCTTCCGTTCTGTGGCCATGGGTGCCATGTATTTGCACATTTGATTGGGATTCCTCTGGGCAGGATCGGTCTCTATGGGTCGAGGCCATTTATTATCTTTGATGCGTCCAATAGCCGAAACGATGGCGGATGCATCAATGTTGAAGTTATATTCCGATAGCCAAGGTGCTTCCTTAGATCCGACAGGCCTATCGAACCTACTTCTGTTCATCAGCCCCCGGGACCCTTGACCTCGATCACTTCTTTTGTTATTTTGCCCGAGGTTATGTCTCGATTCACTGACTCTGTGGCTTCCGTTGTACGGTTGGTATCGATCCCCGATCGGACCTCGTTCTTGATTAGTACCCCTTCGAATAGTGGGTTCAAACCCTAATTGATCATCTTCGACCCTAATTTTTTATTGGTACCGATTGTGCACGTCGGCCCACGTGATGGCTGGGTATTCAATCAGGTTATGCTTTAATCGCCGTGAAGCCGTCGAACTTTGTTCGTTAAAACCTTGAGTGAAAGCCTGAACAGCCCAATCGTCTGTGACTGGTGGCAAGTCCATTCGTTCCATTTAAAAACGAGATACGAACTCCCTCAGCATCTCGTTATCCTTTTGTCTTACCTTGAAGAGGTCCGATTTCCTTGTTGCGACTTTATGGCGCCGACATGTGCTTTCACAAAAAGAATTTGCTAACATGGCAAACGAGTCGATGGAATTTGGTGGTAGGTTGTGATACTAAATCATTGCCCCCTTCGAGAGGGTCTCTCCGAATTTCTTTAATAGCACAGATTTGATTTCATCGCCTTTTAAATCATTGCCCTTGATGGCACATGTGTAAGAAGTGACGTGCTCGCTGGGATCGGTCGTTCCGTTATATTTGAGAATTTTGGGCATACGAAATTTTTTGGGGATTGGTTTCGGGGCTGCGCTCGAGGGAAAAGGTTTTTGCACGAATTTTTTCGAATCTAACCCTTTTATCATTAGTGGAGCTCCCGGGATCTGATCGACCCTAGAGTTATAAGTTTTTACTTTTTTATCGTTGGCTTCGACTCGCTTTGTGAGTTCCTCGAGCAATTTAGTAATTTCAGGAGTAGTCCCCGATTCTTGCTCATTTGACTTCACTATGGTTGGCCCCGTTCTGTGGGTGATTTCTCGAGGTGGATTGGGCTCCGGCCTACTTTGTAGCTGGGTTTGGCTCTACAACTGAGCTATTGCTGCCTATCGGGCTTGCAACATTTTAAAAATCATACGCAAGCTAATGCCGTTTTCCTCGACGTTATGAGTATCTCGAGCTGCAGACCGAGTACCACCATGGATGCTATAATCGAGTTCAGCATATAGGTTCGCCTCAATGGCTACATGTGAATTGATATCTATTGGCGCTCCGATTCGAGCTCCAACGGTGTTAACAAGTGGTCTTTCAGTACTGGGTGTCAAGTTGTTATTTTCGTCTTGAAGGCCGGCTCCGTTGTCGATTGGTGAAGCCATTTGATTGATGGTTAGTCATAGCTAATCCAAAATTCAAGATATTTTCGGAAACAAGTGCAAAACACAATGGCGTAATTTTTCAGATTTGTATCAAATAACCACTGTTATCCTTAGCCCCACGGTGGGCGCCAAACTATTTACCCGAAAAACGGATAGAGTTAAATTTATACGTAGTTCTAGGGATATGTGATATAACTTAATACAAATCGTAAGGATAAAAGGAAATATCAAATCTGAACTGTAAAGAATGTAAAATAAACAAAGTTGTAAAAAAGATGATTTTTAGGACTAAGCAAGATGGATCAGTTTTTTAGGCTTAAAAGAGTAACTCTTGAATATAAGAGGATATCGTGCTTGAATTTCAATGTGAGCTCTATATCAAAACTGCCCTTACAGAAATGATAACTTTCCACCTTTATATTAGAGGGATCTTACTTTAAATATAATTAAAAATACTCACTGGGAAGTCCATGATAGATCAACTTTTCCACAATTCCTGCCAAGATTCTCTCCTCTAGTGGGATTGCAACGGATTTTGTCTATGAGCTCGATCTTGACTCGAGCTCTCGATCTTGGCTTGAGCTCGATCCAGACTCGAGCTCTCGATCTTGGCTTAAGCTCGATTCTGACTCGGACCCTTGAATTAATTCGGAGTCAATGTTGGTCGGTCTCTAGATCATAAGCCTGATAGCTTTACTTTGCATCATAGTTTGATTTGGATTCGAGCTTGATAATGATATCGAACTCGATATTGATAGGCCCCTCGGGTTCGAAGCTTGTCTGTACTATCTTCGGAACCCATCTCGAAGTCTCACTTCGATCGCTTATCTTTCGAACTCGATCAGACTTACGAAAGCCAAAATCTATTTCGACCGTATACAGGCACCCTCTGGTTGCTCAAAATATACCAACCCTACTTCCTATTATTTCTAACCGACCCAAGCTCCCACTTAAATCCCCGTAATTGGGTCAGTTAGAAATAATAGGTCTTAACCTTGGTCAGTTAGAAATAATAGGAAGTACGTGGGTATTTGTTTGAGCAACCAGAGAGTGCCATATGTCTTTTTAAAGTTATGATGAGTAGATTAACGGCTGAGGGTTAATTTTAAACTCAAAGTAGAACGGTAGGGGTAAGAATATGTAAAAGGTGAAACGGACGATAAATATAGCTTATTTTTGAAAGTAAAGGGATAAATATGACCCTTTTCCGAAAGCTAAATGCATTTGGTCTCACTTGGAGTCTGTGTATGCGTAATCATGTCTCTGTTTCCATACCGATTTGCAATGACCTTAACAATACGAAAGGGTGCAATGAAATTTTCATTAGCTAGTGCTGATAAAAGACGAGAGATAGTATATTTTTAGCCGCTCCCATAATAGCCGTAATATATTATTTTAATATATGTGTATTATATACATAAAATATACATATTTTTTAATATTTTTTGACTAGCGAATGTAATTAATTTCGACCGAAAAACCAATTTTGTATTTTGCCCATAAAAGGTGGGGCGTAGCTATGATATGGATCAAGGATGTTGAGGCCTCTAACAATATGGGGCATTGAAAATCAATCCCAATGTAATATGACATTACACAAAATCTTTGTTGGCGTCACATTTTGCACTGCCTATGCGAAGTTGTCATAATACCTCGCGCGAGTTGTGCCCTTGAAGTCAAAAGTTTATTTTAATGAGGTTAGCTGGTAGCCAATGTATTTAGATAACTAATAACGCAACATTCATAGTATGTGGGATGTAATTCACATAACTTGAATAGTTCACATTGTTACACTTATCTTTACCTGGCAAGAGGGGCCTAAAACTATGGCCAGGTTGTTGGTTTAAGTTTGCCAAGACAGCCCATTTTGCACGGATTACTAGGAATTTACAAAGAAATTACGTCCTAGAGTACATAACTATCTTCCAGGAGAAGATAAATTTGCAGCTTTTTTTACTTTGGTCTTGATAAACATCAACGTCGTGCCACAAAAGCACAACGCCAGATCTGGTTAGACTTAGAACTGCAGTTGCACTAAACTGTGCAGCGTGGAAAATTAAAAATTTACGGCTCCAATCCAAAGTATCTCACAAAAGTTCAGGATTGAAGAAATAACATTATGCTTGGTTCTAGAATGAAAAAACAAGGACTGAAGGGGAGAAACAGGGTACCCTACCTCACTCTAACCATTAACGATAATATCCTTTTGTTTAGTTAAATGAAAGGAAAGTTGAGCATACAACAGGAAGCATAAAGCCAAATTCTAAAGCATAAATGATTCAACCAGCCAAATGGTCCGCCATCTCCAAAAAATTTCTTAACAGTAGAAAATCATGTTACATCACTAAAATAGTAAAAAAGTAATATAAATGCAATTCCATTTGTCTAATAATGAACTTTAAACAAAGAAGAGATCAAGCCACTAACAACCACGAACTGCTGGCGAGACAAAAGCAAATAGGAACTCATTGCTGTCCAACTTCAGCTTTCTTCTTCAGCCAGAGCCTATCAAGAGCACTATCGGCGTCTCCCTGCAGAAAGAATTTTCAAATCAATTGCACAAAATGATGAACAGCAAAAGCAAACAAAATAAGCCAACACAACAAGATCCAAAGATAATAATCTACCAATCAAAATAACCATAGGCCCAAATCATAGCTTAAAAACAATTTGAAAGAAACAACAACATACGCAGTATTATCCCACCCTCTTTATATTACAAGTTTTGACGGAGGTTAAAAGACTAGCTGAATACCAGCCACAATCGCAAAAAGCTAAAACTGCCATTAATTTGTATAAAACTCACTATCAATGATCAGCACTTCGCAGAAAGAAGAATGAGACAAGAAAAACAGCCTTGCACTAAAACAAATATATCTAAAATGGATACGCTACAAGTAACTAAGACCAAAGAGCATCGGCACGGAGACAGCAGGAATGCCAACAAGGCTCTAAAGATGTTTGATATGACAGAGACAATCTGAAGGTAAATACTACTTTCACATGATATTCAAAAACAACAAGCAACATACTTGGGCACGAATAAATCCACAGAGAGCATAAGTAGTGAACTGGTTATTGTATCGGCCAAACTCATCCAAATGCCCAACGTTGAGCTGGACAGAAGCGTGATCCTTAGAAGTGATCAACCTGTTTGTGGCAGAGCTGCATCCAAATAGTACATTAATTATCTAGGACAAACTAATATTACATCATCATTTAATTAAATGACCAGGGGCAGCTGACTCTAATCCAAAGTGTTTGGAAGTAAGAAATACCTACCACTTCCTAGGGATGTAAAGGTCCATGTTTTGTCCCTCGTCGTTCTGCATCTTGGCAAATGGGCTTTACACTAGCAGACTTTAGAAGTTAAAAGCTCCTGGATTTAGCCCTATAGAGTCAATCATTAAAAAGAAGGCCACTCAAACTTCCATAATAAATTATAATCTAGAAGTATTCCAACAATTCAAAAGCATCCACACAAGTAAGATTAATTACACTTCGACCATCCCAATCGACATGATGCAAGTATGAATCAAATGAAATATGATGAAATTACTTCTTGTTACACAGGTTTGAATCACTTGGATTGAATGTACACACTCGTATAGATGCACACACTATCAAATTTCAAAAAGAAAATCTGACTGTAACAATTTGAAAAATTGAAACATGTAAGGTTACGATACAGCATATTTTATGGTACTAAATCCACTAGTATACAGGAAATCCTATTTTAAATTCCAGCATAAAGTTTGATTGCACGAACAAGAAGCATGTATTATTTATTCAAAAGATTACAGAGATACAACGGAATTCGATGTACACTACAAAATTGACATAATACATAATAATACAGAAAGCAAAGGCCTATGAAATTGAGAAGCAAAATGTGTGTGCACACAGAGAGTGAGATTGTTACCTGGAAGACCGACACCGACGATTGCTATGGGGGAGAAGAGCAGGGATAGCTGCTAAAAGGTTTTATAGCAAAAACACCAAAAACCCTAAATCAGCGCCGATTGACTTAAATAACCCTAGTTGTTTTCCGCAATTACAAACAAACGCCTTTGACCCATCCGACCCGCCTCATTTGAAAAAAACGGTAAGAAATATATTAACGGTGTTATTCTTATCAAACACTTAACTTAAACCCTTTATATAACGAAAATCCTAGTTAAATAAACTTAAAATATCAATAATAAAAAATCAAACTAATGAAATAATTGAGAAAATCCTATTACACTAATAGAATAGCTTATATGTTCAAAGTGCAAGAAAATTATTACTAGTAACTTGTGCTCATTTCCTAGTGCAAACTAATGACTGTATTCTTATTAAGTAACTTGTGCTCATTTCCTATTTAAGAGTTTTGAAAGATGTATATTTCAATAATATTTATTCTCCTTTTCAATAGAAGTGTTTGACAAAAATATCATTCCCTTTCTTACATTTCATAACATTTTTATTCTCTTTCTTATTTCATAAGATTAAATATATCAGAACTTTATGTTAGTAACTCTAATTTATTTTTTAGTTATTCTATTTTAATATACTTAGTTTGAGATATGTCTATTTTTCAATCTAAGCACTTCGCAACCCTGTAAAAAGGAAATACTACTGAAACTAATACTTATGTAGAATTTTCATTAAATAAATACTATAATTAGTTGATTTTAAAATACAAAAACTGGATGTGCAGTTAAATCATATTATAGGGATATGTAGCGTAATCTACCCCTTAAACAACAGATGTTGTAGAATAGCAGATTTATCAAAAACTTCTTAGATTATACTACTGATTTTGTTGATCCTCAACTTAATAAATTCTCTTACAAAATTAAATGCACTTGGTAAGACCAAAACTTGGCCAGTTTGGAAAAGACTCAAAATTAGTAGAAGTATATATTTTCATGATTGTGTTATGAAAATAATTATATTGTGGATATCCATTTATTACTCTGCTATAGATAATCTTCCTGAATAAGATTATCCATTTAGTACTCTGTTGAAGTTTATCTACAAGCAGCTGATGTAGGCAGGTTGCAAGCAGCTCAATGAAATAATTTGCGGCAACTTCTTATTAAACATGCAGGTTGCAAGCAGCTCATGCAGACAGCTTACAAGCAGCTAAAGAAAAGCCTTGCAGCTGCTTCCTGAAAAGCCTCGCAGTTGCTTCCTTTCTTCTATAAATAGAGGAATTTTCAGTTCATTATGCACATAAGTTTGAAGTTCGAATAATATATCAGTTTTTCTCTATAATTGTCTTTACTTTACAGTTTTTATTTTATAACACGTTATCAGCACGAGGCTCTGTCATCTCGAAAAGTATCACAGGTACGAACTTTCTTTTTCTAAATAATGTTAAATCTTTCTAAACTTGAATTTATAGCCCTGGATATATCGGGCAAAAGCTACATGTCTTGGGTGCTTGGTGCCAAAATTCATCTTGATGCGATGGGTCTGGCAGACACCATCAAAGATAAAAATCAGGCACCAAATCAAGACCGTGCCAAAGCAATGATATTCCTAACCATCACCTTGATGAGGGCATGAAAATGGAATATCTTACTGTTAAAGATCCAGTCATACTGTGGAATAATTTAAAAGATAGATATGACCACCTCAAGATGGTCGTTCTTCCACAGGCACGTTATGATTGGACTCATCTAAGGCTACAAGATTTTAAATTTATTATTGTGTATAATTCTGCTATGTTCAGAATTATTTCTCAATTGAAACTATGTGGTGATAATATTACTGATCATGATATGTTGGAGAAAACTTTCACCACTTTTCATACCTCGAATATGCTCCTGCATCAGCAATATCGAGAGATGAGATTCAAAAAGTATTTGAACTTATCTCATATCTTCTTGTAGCCGAGCAACATAATGGGCTATTAATGAAAAACCATGAAAGCCGACCTACTGGTCCTTATCCATTCCCTGAAGTGAATAAGACGAACTTCCACCAAGCTAAGCGTGGAAGAGGACGTGGCCCCAGTCGTGGTCATGGTCGTGGTCGGGGAGGAAACTCTAATCGTGGTAATAACAATATACCAAAGAACCCTCCTCACCACCGGCAGTGGAAAAGGAAGGAACAAAAGCATAAAGCGGTGCAAGCAGCAAAGCCAGAAAAATGCATGCTATAGATGTGGAGGAAAAGGGCACTGGTCACNATAGATAGTATGGTTTGTAATAGTTGTACATAAATAAAAGTTATGCTTTGATAATAATATTTACTATCATATTTATTTTGTTTATGTCATTTTGAAGAATATGGATAATCCTCAAATTATATTTGGATCAAAGACCAATCATGAAGATATTTGGGTAATTGATAGTGGAACAACTCATGCCATATTCAAAGATCAGAAATACTTTTCTTATTTGCATGAGTAAAAAGCAAATGTTTCTACAATTTCTGGTAATATAAGTTTGATTGAAGGCTCCGGAAAAGCTATTGTATTTCTGTCTAAGGGAACAAAACTTATTATAGACAATGCATGATTCTCCTCCAAGTCCCGAAGAAACTTGTTGAGTTTTATGGATATCCGCCGAAATGGGTATCATGTTGAGACGATAGATGAAATGAATATGGAATATCTTTGTATTATAAAGAATGTTTTTGGCCATAAGTGCATTGTAGAAAAGTTACTAACTTTATCTTCTCATTTATACTATTCAAAGATTAGTACAGTTGAAGCATACTCTATCGTAAACCGGAAGTTTACTGATTCAAATACTTTTGTGCTTTGAAATGGCCGTTTGGGCCATCTTGGATCAATAATGATGAGGTGAATTACTGAAAATTCGAGTGGGCATCCATTAAAGAACCTGAAGATTCTTACAAATGATGAATTTTCTTTTGATGCTTGTTATCAAGGCAAAATGATCACTAGACCATCACCAATGAAGGTTGGCATTGAATCCCCTGTCTTTTTAGAACGTATACATTGGGATATATGTGGACCTATTCACCCACCAAGTGGGTTGTTTAGATATTTTATAGTCCTAATAGATGCATCTTTAAGATGGTCTCATGTGTGCCTACTATCATCTCGCAACCTGGCGTTTGCAAAGCTATTAGCCTAAATAATTCGATTAAGGGCACAATTCTCAGATTATCCTATAAAGGCTATTCGCCTTGATAATGCTAGAGAATTCTCATCTCAAGCTTTTGATAATTATTGTCTATCAGTTGGGATAAAAGTTGAACATCCTGTAGCTTATGTTCATACTCAAAATGACCTTGTAGAGTCATTTATTAAACGCATGCAATTGATAGCAAGACCACTACTTATGAAAATAAAATTGCTCACTATTGTTTGGGGTCATGCTATCTTGCATGCAGCATCACTTATCCGTCTCAGACCGATACATTATAATAAATATTCTCCGTCACAATTAGTTTTTGGTCATGAACCAAATATTGCCCATCTACGAATTTTTGGATGTGCTGTATATGTGCCAGTAGCACCACCACAGCGCAGTAAGATGCCCGCAGAGAAGGTAAGGAATATATGTTAGGTTTGAATCACCCTCTATTATTCGCTATCTTGAACCAATGACGGGAGATTTATTTACTGCTCGATTTATAAATTGTCAATTTGATGAAATAAATTTCCCACAATTAGGGGGAGAGAAAAAGGAAATCAAAAGAGAAATTGTGTAGAAAGTTTTATCATTATCTCATTTTGATCCACGTACCCCTATATGTAATCAGGAGGTTCAGAAGATCATCCATTTATAAAATATAGCAAATCAAATGCCAGACGCATTTACTGATTTGAAAAGGATAACTAAGTCACATATCCTTGCAGAGAATGTGCCTACACGGATTGATATCCCAGCAGGACCATCTACTAGCAAAAGAACTAGTGAACCTAAAGCACGCCTGAAAGGTGGTAGGCCTTTGGGTTCTAAGGATTGAAATCCTCGAAAAAGAAAATCGACAAATGATCAAAACGATACTATAAGGGGATCTCCTGAAGAGACCCAAGATCTGATTAGTTCTGAGATTCCTGAAGAAATCACTGAACCCGAGACTCGAGTGAGCGAGAAACTTTTAATAAATTTTACTGGTGATGGGATTAATTTAAATCAATCTGAAATAGTGGTGGATAATATTTTTGCTTATAATGTTGCACTTAATATTATGCAAGATAGTGAGCATTGTGAACCCCGATCTGTCAAAGAATATCAACAAAGATCTGATTGGCCAAAATGGCAAGGGGCAATTCATTCAGAATTGAACGCACTTGCTAAAAGAGAGGTCTTTGGACCAGTAGTCCAAACACCTGCTGGTATAAAACCAGTTGGTCATAAATGGGTTTCTGTGCGAAAACGGAATGACCAAAATGAAGTTGAAAGATACAAGGCTCGCCTTGTCGCACAAGGATTCTCACAACGACCTGGAGTCGATTATGAAGAAACATATTCATCCGTTATGGATGCCATAACATTTCGATATCTCATCAGTTTAGCCTTACGTGAAAGGCTTGAAATACATATGATGGATGTGGTTACAACTTATCTGTACGGGTCACTTGATAATGAGATTTACATGAAAATCCCCGAAAGATTTAAAATGCCTGAAGCATATTCGAAATCTCGAAAAATATATTCAATCAGATTACAAAGATCTTTGTATGATTTAAAGCAATCTGGGCGCATGTGGTATAATCACCTTAGTGACTATTTACTGAAAGAGGGTTTCATAAATGATGTTATTTGTTCATGTATTTTTATAAAGAAGATGGCATTAGAATTTGTTATGCTTGCTGTTTATGTTGATGACATAAATCTTGTTGGAACTCTAGAAGAGCTCCAAAAGGCAATTGAATATCTTAAGAAAGAATTTGAGATGAAAGATCTTGGAAAGACAAAACTTTGTCTTGGACTGCAAATTGAACATTTAGCAAATGGGATCTTTATGCATCAATCTGCCTATACAGAAAGGGTTTTAAAACGCTTTTACATGGACAAAGCGCACCCATTGAGTACACCAATGGTTGTTCGATCACTTGAAGTGAATAAGGACCCGTTCCGACCTCCAGAAGAGGATGATGGACTCCTTGGTCCTGAAACACCCTATCTCAGTGCAATTGGTGCACTTATGTATCTTACTAATGCTACAAGGCCTGACATAGCATTTTCTGTTAATTTATTAGCAAGATATAGCTCTTCTCTTACTCGGAGACATTGGAATGGGATTAAGCATATTTTCCGATATTTAAAGGGAACTCTTGATATGGGTTTGTTTCATGCTAACAAAGGTAGTGCAGATCTTGTTGGTTATGCAGATGCAAGTTATTTATCTGATCCCCATAAAGCTTGATCTCAAACCGAGTACGTGTTTACATGTGGAGGTACTGTCATATCATGGTGCTCCACAAAGCAGTCAATTGTTGCTCCTTCTTCAAATTATGCTGAGATAATAGTTATTCATGAAGCAAGTAGGGAATGCGTATGGTTGAGATCAGTGATTCATTTTATTCAAGAAAAATGTGGTTTGGAGTGTGATAAAAGATCCACAATTTTATACGAAGACAATGCTGCATGCATAGCCCAATTGAAGGGAGGATTTATAAAAGGAGATAGAACGAAGCACATTTCACCAAAATTATTCTACACACACGATCTTCAGAAAAATGGTGACATTGATNGAGAAGATGGTATACAGGATTGGAATGCGGAGACTCAAATGTTTGAAATAAGGTTTTCATCAGGGGGAGTAAAATACGCGATGTATTTTTTTTTTCCTTACTAAGGTTTTTTCCCACAGGGTTTTCCTTATAAGGTTTTTAATGAGGCAGCTAGAAATGCGTATTACTAAATATGTATACTCTTTTTCCTTCACTAGGTTTTTCCCAGTAAGGTTTTAACGAGGCACAATACCTTTTAATGAACATCCAAGGGGGAGTGTTATGAAAATAATTATATTGTGGATGTCCATTTATTACTCCGCTATAGATAATCTTCCTGAAGAAGATTATCCATTTAGTACTCTGTTGAAGTTTATCTACAAACAGCTGATGCAGGCAGGTTGCAAGCAGCTCAATGAGATAATTTACAGCAATTTCTTATTAAACAGGCAGGTTGCAAGCAACTCAATGAGACATCTTACAAGCAGCTAAAGAAAAGTCTTGTAGCTACTTCCTTTCTTCTTTAAATAGAGGAGTTTTCAGTCCATTATGTATATAAGTTTGAAGTTTGAATAGTATATCAGTTTCTCTCTATAATTGTCTTTACTTTACAGTTTTTATTTTATAACAGATTGCACATTTTAATTCAATTTCAACGTCTGATATGTGATAATATTTTTTTGAGTGTGGTTAATTTAACATTAATAACCATTTTCCTCTTTAGAGATCAGCCATATCATTTTCGTCACTAGTACTCTAAGAATCTTGACAAGGACCATAGAAGGCGGATTCCTAAGTATAAAATAATTTGTTAACTGCGAAGAATTTAATGCAAGGTTGACGAAACGAGAAATAAGTAGCAAAAACAATGAAGCTAACGCAAAACATGGCTCAAGTTCTGAATTAAAAGTATTTACCGAGCATACATCCGTAAGTTGTTATAGTATAGATTAACTTCCAATCTCGAGACTAGTTTGCTCCTAAAAGCCAGAAAAATAGTCTTATGTTGCTTCTCTTTTCCAGTTAAAAAGATTCATATCGAGCAAAACTCATGAAAATGGAGCATCATTTGAAGTTGTGCACTCGGAGCAAGAACAAATGTTTAACCACAAAATTCATCAGCATCTTCTTTTTCTCCGTGTTTCTTGTTGTCATCCTTTTCCATATCCAGTATTCATCTCCTTTTGATTTCTCCTTATCAGCAAGGTCTCAAAGATGTGCTTTTCATTCCCAAGAGAATTACTCTGATGTCAAGGAAACCATGACGGCGAAAGCTCAAAGACTCTATCACTTTCCTCCCCCTTCAGGTCCTTAGATTTAGAGAAACAGCCACAACTGGCCACACATGGTTTATGAGCTCTTTGAACGATACACGCGAGGAAAATGAAGCAGAACACTTGTATTTCCCTTCCAAGGCATCCAAAGGACGGCTTCTTTGCTTTAAGGGACGGGATACTAAGGATAGCACAAAGAATTCATATGCTTTGGCATGGCGAGAAAGTCTTCCCGACTCTGCTATTCTATTGGAAGGCTTAACATTCGTATCCTACACATATTACGACCACCAAAATCTGTGGCATGGATTATCTGCAGTGGCTCCTTTTGTGAGATGGTCAATGAAATATAAGTGTGTGAAGCCAACAAGATGGGTGTTATTCCACTGGGGAGAACTGAGATTAAGAATGGAGGTCATGGATTCAACAACTTATGCAAGCTAATTTCGGTAAAGTTAAGGTGGAAGGATTTGATAGAGACGTACCTTACTGTTTTGAGAAAGCCGTTGTCATGAGGCATGAGACAAGTCAAATGGGGCAGGAGAATAAGCTGAAGGTATTCAACCTGTTGCGCTGCAAGGCTAGGAGTTACTCTGGCATTAATCCTGCAGGCAAGGGTAGAGAGATTAATGAAAAAGGGTTTTCAATTATAAGACTTACTCTGCTAATGAGAAGAGGTTCACGCTCGTTCAAGAATGCACCTGCTGTAACTGATATATTTGCAAAGGAATGTGCAAGAGTCAAAGGCTGCATTCTGCAAGTAGTTCAGTCAGACGATCTATCTTTCTGCGACCAGGTACACATTTTTCCCTTGCTTCCGTCAGTATTCAGTAATTACCGCAGAAAATATCAATGGAGCAATAGTAACTCACAGTGAAATATACAACTAAAGCTTACCAAGCAACTAATACCAACAAGCTATTCATATTATCCTACTTGCAGTAATTCCAGGCAATCACTGAAATTAACACAAATGTCCTTTATCAGGTGAAAGTGCTCACCAGCACCGATATTGTTGCGTCTCCATATGGAGCACAGTTAACGAATATGCTCTTCATGGACCCCGAGAGCAGCGTGATGGAATTCTATCCAAAAGGATGGTTAGAGTATGCTGGCTCAGGCCAATATGCTTACCATTGGATGGCAAATCAATCAGGGATGAAACATCAGGGTGCATGGTGGGATCCAATGGGAAAGGAGTGTCCATCCCCCAAAGATCGTCTGCAGTGCTTTCTTTTTCATAAAGATGGCATGGTTGGACATAACGAGACCTATTTTACCGAATGGGTTAGAAGAGTCATCGATCATGTTAAGCTAATCAAGCTGGAGCAAGCAAACCAGCAACAACATGATTCAAAAGCATGTATATGCTAGCCTACTGTTGAAGTATTCAATAGCGCCATTAACAGTAGACTTTGTAAGAGTTAGAATCAAATGTGTAAACTGATTTGCTAGAAATCATTATTTGCAAACAAGCTCTTGTTTTAACAGATGAACTATAGAGCATCCTTCATTGCAAAATAATCACTTTTTTCCTAGGTAAGCACACAGTAATCATTGTCATATAGCAAGTATCACAAAGAAGATACAAGTGAAAAAGAAAAAGGATGAACTAATAGCAACCCTCAGTGCTTCTACAAATTAGGAAAGTTTACATAAGACTAATATTCAGAGTTCTACAGTTGCAACATTGCTTCCCCCAATCCTTAAAAAACAACCACTGTTTAGCTTTTGTATGATGTTTTCTGTGTGGTTCTCTCATTTTTATCAAAACGTACACCAGGAAATAGCAAAACAGCACAAAAAGATAGGATTGCTCTTACCCCCGTGAAAACTTGGGCAACAAGTAGATCACAAAAAAGCAAAATAGTGGAAAACGTACCACATGCATCATATGGTTTGATCCTTCCAGGATGATGCTCCTGCTCAACCGTCTCGTGTTCTTCTTCACCCCTGCTTGAGCTTTGATCAATGTAATTTGCTGTGACATTAGGAAAGTATAAATGCTTAAGGAAATAGGAAAGTCATGTAACTTACTAGTAAGAATGTTTCAATATTCAATAAAATAAGCATACATCATGAGAATTTCATATAGACCGACCAATCAACACGTTTATAAACTTTGTCACACTAACTCTAGAAAGCTTACTCGTTCTAATGGCTTGAAGCAATCTAAAGTTCTCGAGGTTCACTAGAAGGGATAACTCTTAGAAGTACATCATTCAAATTTAAACAGGTTGAATATATACAGTTTGTTGACCAATATCCCCACACTTCAAGAACATAGGAAAAGAAAAAAATGCAATCAAGTTTAGGCTTATAATAGTCAGTTGATGGAATATGGAGATCTAAACAAGGATGTATCATTCAACGCACTAGAGAAGCCATAAGAAAAGCATAGAGCAACAAAGGCATTCAGGCAAGTTGGCAGGGTAGTACCTAAGGAAAGGCAAAAGAAGGCTACAGTACACTCATTTACAAAAGATTTACATTAACAATTGCAATTAAAGAGGGGAGAGAGCAAAAGAAAAAAGAGAGGAGCGAGGAACTAAATGCAGGTTAGCAGTTGCAAATTTTTTCCTCATCAATAAGATTAAATATAATTCTTTTCCCCTTTCTACTAAGTTCTTGATTGTTATCCAGCATTAGGAAAATAAACTCCAAAAAAGATCAATAAAATATAATTTTTTTCTCCCCTTTCTCCCAAGTTCATGGCTGGTATTAGATTGTTATCCAGCAGTAGGGAAACAAACACCAAAAAAGCTATAGCATAAACGCCAAAAAGCACTAAATTCTTAGATCATGTTAGATTGTTATCCATCATTAAGAGAATAAAAATCAAATATAGTAGTTCTTTTTTCCCTTTCTCCTAAGTTGACGGCTCATGTTAGATTGTTATCCAGCATTAGGAAAATAAACACCAAAATAGCTCTGAGATTAAGAATAGGATCGTGGATCCAATAATTTATGCAAGTGAATTTTGGTGAAGTCAAGGTAGAAGGATTTGATAGAGGAGATGTACCTTACTGTTTTGAGAAAGCCATTGTCACAAGGCATGATCTAGGCCAAATGAGGCAAGACAGTATGCTAAAGGTGTTTTACCTGATGCGCTGCAAGGCTAGGAGTTACTGTGGCCTTAATCCTGCAGACAAAAATTGAGAGACGAGTGAAAGAAGATTTTCAATTATAAGACTTACACTGCTGATAGAGAAGAGGTTCCTACTCGTTCAAGAATGCGACTGCTGTGACTGATATATTTGCAAAGGAATGTGCAAGGGTAGAAGGATGCGTTCTACGTGAAGTTCAGTCAGAAGATTTATCTTTCGGCGACCAGATAAATATGTTCCCCTTTCTATCGTCAGTATTCTATAATTGCTCTAGATGAAGCAATAGTACTTAATATACAACTAAAGCTTACCAAGAAACTTTCATCGGTAAGATTCACATTTCCCTGCTTAGAAACTCCAGTAGAATGCAGGTAATCACTGAAATAATGTCAATATCCTCTATCAGGTGAAAGTGATGACAACGCTGACATTGTTGTGTCTCCACATGAAGCACAATAACTAATATGCTCTTCATGGACCATGAAAGCAATGTAATGGAATTCTTCCTGAAGGGTTGGTTAGATAATGCTGGTGCAGGTTAATATGCTCATCGCTGGATGACGAATCAATCAACCTCAAGGTGCATGGTGGGATCCAATAGGGGAGGAGTGTCCATCCCCACAAGATCATCTGTAATGGTTTCATTTTCATAAAGATGGCATGGTTGGACACAACGAAACCTATTTTGCAGAATGAGCAAGAAGAGTTATTGATCAAGTTAGGCTAAGCAAAGTGGAGCAAGCCTCTGCTGACCAAGCAAACAAGCAACAAAACGAATCAAAAGCATGTGTATGCTAGCCTTCTGTTAGTTACATAAGACTAATATATGGAGTTTCTAGAGTTGTACCCTTGCTGCCACCAATCACTAAAAATCAGACCACTGCTTAGCATTTGTATGATGCCTTGAATAGATTGTGTGTTTCTCTCATCTTCTAACTTCCCTCACCATCCGACCCTATTCTACTGTCGCATACTAGCTTCCTTTTATTTTTTAACTATGTACATGGATCACACTTAGGGAAACTTCATTTGTCTTAAATAAATTTGGAATATCTAACCCCAAACTTCCTATACACTTCAAAATCATATCAGACTATAAATATCCGGGGTAAACACTTAGTCACATAACTTAGGGGGGACTGTCATATCTTTTATCTCACAATAATAGCTGCTTCTTATAGTAACTTACTAACATGGTACTTTCTAGTTCTAATTTGAATAAATCTGAACAACTTAAAATCATTCCCTGAAATTCAATATCGGCTGCTCTTGGTTCTCATTTCGTACATCATATTTTCTTAGTCATACGCATAAGTTGCATGAAGAACACATCTTTGGTAATAACAAACATTTCTGACTCCTAGGTATTTTGCCCTTAGGCTCTTTCGTGTCCAAAACTATAGTGATCAATTCTATGCCCACTGCTGTTATATTCTTAACCCGTTATACCGTGGGGTCTAACAATTGAACTATCATCATCTAACATGTGGCTCTATTTCCAAGAATTAAAATAAAATTGTTCTGTGAGGTAAAACACATGCAGATACACTACCATACACAAACTTCTCATTCATAGCGTACCATCATCTGATAAATCACTTCCTGCACAATCCGGTGAGTGTTGGGTCTTAATCCGGACCTAAAACATGAAAAGATTTTGCTATAATCACTGTTACTCGCATTTTCTTTTAGCACCCATAGGCATCACTATTTACTCAAAAGTCACCAGAATTTGGATATACTGAAAATTAGAGATCTGGTATCTAATAACTGAATAGTTGTGTACTTGAATAACCATAAACCTGCTAGCTGAAAGACTGTATAACTGGTAACTGAGGTAAACCGATAACCATAAAATATGATAATTTCTTTTGTACTTTCTGATAAGGTTATGCTCCAATTTGTACTTCTATCCATTATACCATTTCAAGTCTCATTTGTTACCAACCCGTACTCCATAATTATACCCTAATGGGCAATCATCCTCTCTAGAACCTTGGGTTTTTCCTGCCCGTCGATTGGGTATTCAATACATCTGGGATTCGATAAGAAGAGAAGGTTACCTATTGCTCTAAACTTTATGGCACGATCTAGAGTAGAAAAAAATGAGACAATCTTGAATGTCTTGGTAGTTAACCGTTTATATGCGTGGCCGGCACACACATATAAAGAAAACTCCACTGGACACTGCTTCATAAACTCCCTAGGACACTTGAACCTAGTGCTCTGATACCAAGCTTTGTCACGTCCCGAACTTGGGCCTGGACGTAACACGGCACCTGGTGCCTGACTACATGTGACCGAGCAAACCAACCGGTTGGCTGAATCAACATGTGATATCATAACATATTGAATGTGAAAAATAAACTAACACATGCTGATATACTGAAAGTCTGAATGATATAAATCAAAGTGTGAAAACACTAACATAAGTTTGAAACATATATGTAGCCAACTTTACTTAACATGAAAAGCATGTGACTTTGTCTAACTGTTACTCTAGTCTATGAAGCCTCTAATGAAGTACCGAAAATACTAACTGATTGGAAATACTAAAGATTGTAAAGTATGATAATGCCCCGAAAGAACTGGGCTCACCAAATAGTTGGTACGAGAATCCTAGCACTCTGAATCGTCAACCTGTAAATCATTGCCTGCATCGTGAGATGCAGACCCCGGGCAAAAGGGACGTCAGTACATTTGAATTGCACTGATATGTAAAGCAACTGAAAGAAAGAATTGTAAATGCCGAAACTGAAACTGAGCTGATAACAGAGAACTGATAATTGATAACTGAAATGATAACTGCTGAAACTGAAACTGCATTGATAAATGATAGTTGAAATGAGAACTGATAACTGATAACTGAACTGATAACTGATAACTGAAGTAAGGATATGAATACTCCCTCTTCTGAATGATGAACCACTTGTTTATCTGAATAAACTACAGTCTCGGGTCCAATATATATGTGCACAAGCTACGGCCTCAAGCTCAAGTATACGTATACATAACTACGGCCTCAGGCCCAAAAATGCATAAAGCATAAACTACGGCCTCAGGCCCAAAAATGCATAAAGCATAAACTACGGCCTCAGACCCAAACATGCATGAAGCATAAACTACGGCCTCAGGCCCAAATACAGGTGTTCAACATTCAGGGATTTAAATTTAGAAACTGAGAATCATACTGCAATATGTGATGCTGAAATACTAAATCATATTGAGTTACATGATAATGGAATACTGAATAGGACTAGACTGAGA